GAGAGGGAGTGAGAGATAAGAGAATGGTAATCTGAGATGTGACGGATTGTGACATGGCAGAGATAAGAACTGGCTTAAGTCTGGAAAGTTGCCTCTATACGACCAGGCTCATTAAGAAACAAGGAAAAACTTTTCATTGCTGCATAGGCCCGTTTCAGAGGGGTGCAATTCAAACAGGGGGAGACTATCGTAACGTATCCTTTTTCACAAGTAGAAGCAGTTGCCTCTCCTTCCAGAGCTTTCCCAGGTTGCGTGTTTCGAATTAAACGAAGATATAAACTTTTATCTTGATTTCAAAAGGAGGGAAGTCTCACTGTTCTATAACACCGTCGGGTGTAATTAAAACATGTTCACACTTTCTGCACGTCCGTCCCACGGCTACTGAAAGAAACTGATCGCTAGAATTACAGACTCCGCAAGAGCTTCTGGTCGAGTGAGGCAGTTGAATTACTTGGGAGTTCATCAGCTTTTAACTGCGAGATCTCATGTCCTACATTGTCCTATTTCCATATACGGGACGTTTCGTTTAACAAGACGTCCGAACACGTTTCCATCAGAAATATAATTAATGATTTGAGCTTCACACAGCGGTGGTTAGGAAGAGTTCTGTCTTCTGGGATATGATATGTACTCCGTTGAAAGTGAACTGTCGTTTCGGAGGAACATTTCCCCTCAATTTTCAGGTTCGAAATATAAGCCAAGCAAGAAATCCATCTTCAGGATGGAAGATGGAGGCGATACTTTACTCCGAAACGTCGGTTCACACAAGATATACACGTCGCCACATCCCATTAGACGGCATTCTTCAATTTTAAACTTGTTTAGGCTCCAAGAATGCAAGGAATTAACAAACTTTTGCAGTTTTAAGATTTGCTTGTCGTTTAAGTAAATTGTCACGCTTTGGGGCGACTTGTAAATGGGTTTCGGATATGAAGATTGCATTTAATGTACCTTATACATTCACACACCTCAGGACTACAGGCAATACAGCGCTGTTGCTATTCTGCACACTTTCCAGTTCACCGTTAAACACGCACTTGGGTTCTCAGCCTTCACTAGCCGTATCCTGGCAACGGATTTGTCACAGTCTCACTGTAACTTAAATCACATGTGAAGTTTTCTTATGAGAGTCTAATTACTTTCTTGTCACTTCGGCAGCTGCTAATTCCGTATACTCTACTCGACTACGGGGCACGCGGTAGCGTAGTTGGTTGAGGCATTGTGCTACAAGCCGGAAGGTGACTGGTTCAAGTCCCGTTTAGGTTATTGGATTTTTTTCAATTGACCTAATCCTTCCAGCCGCACTATGACCTTGGGGTCGACTCAGCCTCTAACAGAAATGAGTACCAGGAATAATCTTGGGGTAAAGGGCGGCCGGAGCGTAAGGCTGACAACCTTACCGCAATCTATGAGCCGATTGTCCAGGAAATGTGGGAGCCTCAACATCTCACAACCCTAGGGGTCTCCACGGCCTGTTACAGGGATACCTTTACCTAATCCCTTTCTTGCTATTTCGGCGGCTTCTAATTCCATAGACTCTACTCGACTACTCTCGACTATACTCTACTTCTACTGTCCTGCTGAACATTTCTTATAACCACTTTGCACGGACCTCACGGAAAACACCGTATTCTACTATCCAGAATGCGTGTTTACTGGTACGTTGCCTATCAACGGATGTCCTTTTATTGTCGAGCACTTATGTTGCGGGAATGTGTTTACTGACCGGTAATAAGTAATAACAGCTGTGCGCGTAACAAACTATTGTGAGGACTTGCTCAAAGCATTGCCGTCACAATATAAACACAAAGAGGATGCATTGAAGCGTTACAAATTGTGAACTCTACGAGTGTAGCCCTGTGCATGAAGATAATTAGCTTTGCATGCTGAAATGAGGACGCAAATTGTTGGGGTGTAATGGACAGGCGTTGAATTCGTGTTTAACAATACCCGAAACGGCCTCTCCAACACGATTCGCGTTTCAGTTTTTTTTCGCGCTGCAGTTGGCAGCATTTGTTATGACTACTTGGTCAAGTCACAACAAGGAACCGCTTTACGCAATATATGCCTTTGGAGGGATTACACTTACCGTCACATCAGAAATGTAGAAGTTAATTTATTCTCAATTATGTGTTTTCTTTACTTATGCAACAGGAATAGACTCAGAAGATTAGCGTGGAGTGATTTTGTTTTGTGAAAATTAGTGTTATTGAAAATACGACCTGTAAGTGGTCAGTAAATCCAATTACCAACCCGAACCCCGTCTATAATCACTGATACACGTGACATCTGTTGGGATGATACAAGGCGTGAGGAAAGTTTTCAGTGAGTGAAATTGTCGGTGAGTGAGAAACAAGAAGAATATTTTTGTGTGAAAGCTTCTGCCTGTTCCGGCCACTTCATAACAGCAGTGCATGAAACGTTTGCACTGTCGCGCAAGAGCTAATTAGAATTTCTTCGAAACCTTGGCTGTGGTATTCACACGAATTACGAGTTAGCAAAAAATTGTATAATTAAAGTTGCTGGCGGTTGTGTTTGCATTCTGTTAACCTAATTTGTTTTTGTTTATTTTATTTATTATGAGGATAAGTAGTTCCAGGACAAAATTGAAACATACTTTCATTTTTTTAAAACTTCTCAGAGCTTGTTCTTCTGTTGCATCATCCTTTAATTTCTTCTGTTTGAAGCCGAAACGAAGGTCGGCCAGCACTCGTGGTCCTAGAGTAGTTAGGCACAAGCTGGTATCGGTTTGTGCTCCGTCCCATGTATGAATCTGCTCAGTACTGTTACCACATCACTGCGCAGGGGCCTTTGTTACCAGCCTGCAGAGTTTACGGCTGGGCACGTTACCGTTAGTGGCCTTGGAGACATAGGGTTTGCCTGGCTTAGGATAGGGACCATCGGCGAGCTCTCGTGGGATCGAATCCCTATGAGGTGGATTTTTCCAATTTATCTAATCTTGGCCCTGGGGTCGACTCAGCCTCTAACATAAATGAGTACCAGGANCATGGATTTTTCCAAATTACCTAATCGACTCAGCCTCTAACATAAATGAGTACCAGGAATATTCTTGGGAGTAAAGCGCGGCCGGCGCGTAAGGCTGACAACCTTACCGCCATCCATGAGCCGATTGTCTAGAAAATGCGGGAACCTCAACACCTCACAACCCTATGGGCCTCCACGGCCTGGTACAGGGATAGCTTTACTTTTCTTTTACAGTATTAACGTAATACAGAGATATATTCTGTTGCACTTAGAGGAAACAGGAAGGGTAATGATGTTAGAACATCTTGTTTAAGGGATTACAGTGGTCCTTAACACAGAACATATAAGCCAGCAATTAAGGGAATTGTATAAACACGAAATTCCTTGTTTATGGTTATCTCCATACGAGTGTTAGTTTACTTAAATGAAGCGCTGAACTAATATTCTGGATTGGAGGGACAGCAAGCTCCCTGTACTCCATCACCACGACTCACGCTGAAGTTTCCGGACGTGAAGTGACGTAATTGTGCCTTCATGAGCGCACTGCAGCGGAATGAAGAAGCCGACGGTAAAGGGCGCTTGTGCTGTTTATTTTCAAGGTGTCGTTGTTTGTATCGAGTAGCAGATGGACTCGAACAGCGAAACTGACCGAGTTCTGTTTCTGACACTAATAACTATTTATATATTTACAGTTCTAATCTGTTCCGAGATACAGAGCATGACGGACGGAAGGAACATGAGTTATGTGTTTATGTATGTATGCTCTTCATATCGTAGCTTAATGTGTGGTGATTGTGAGGTACTGAATATTAAGTAGGGAACAACCAGTTGGGATCGATTTTGTGGCAATGTCAGAAGCTTTACGGGCTGGTAAATTAATCTGTTTTCAATGTAATTTATGGGGGCACACGGTGGCGTAGTTGGTTGAGGCACTATGCTACGAGCCGGAAGTTCGCGGCTTCGAATTCCGATGAGGTCTTTAGATTTTTCAATTTACCTAATCCTTCCAGCCTCACTATGGCCCAGGGGTCGACTCAGTCTCTAACAAAAATGATTACCAGAAATCTTCCTGTGGGTGAAGGGCGGCCGGCGCGTAAGGCTGTCAACATTACCGCCATCTGTGAGCCGATTGTCTAGAAAATGTGGGAGCCTCGACGTCTCACAACTTACGGACCTCCATGGCCTGTTACAGGGATACCTTTACTCTTTTTCTTTTTACCTTTTGAATGTCATTTATTCCTGCGGAAGGGGCATCTTTAAACCTTAACTTTCTGGCAACATGAATTATATAATATATAGCTGTTTCTCTAGTAGAACGACAGGTCATTTAAAGACGACACTGAAGTAGTCTGTTGAGAACATATTTTAATGCTGTCTTCTCAGATGTGACCGCCTCTGTTGGTCTAGTGGTCAGCGTTCCTGGCTGCAGATCCAGAGGTCCGGGTTCGATTCCCGGCGCTACCAGATTTTTCGGAGTAGTGGGTCCACTCAGCCTCGTGATGATAATTGAGGAGCTATTTCAAGGAAACGGCGGCTTTGGTCTAGAAAACCGAAATTAACGGCCGTGGGGATTCGTTACGCTGACCACGCGACACCCTCTATCCGCTAAAGTTGGCACTAACTTCGCCGACAAGCGGCGGTCGCTCGATCGGTTTGGTTCGGTTGCGGACTGAAATCACGGAGTTACTTCTCAGATGTGACGAAGCTTAGTCATGTAGAAGTTTACCGAAGTTTCAGAGAAACGAACTGCCATCTTCAGGGCCAAAGAGCAATCGGGACAGACACTCACACCAATAACAAGTGGACTAAGCCGAGGATCAGGGATGTAAGTCGTGCTAGGAGCCCAGAGAAACCAGTGGAAACAAATACGAGTTGAGTAAGACAAGGATAATCACCTCGGTGAATTTGTAACATGTCCAAGGAGATAGCATTCGTTCTAGTCACCGCCGTGAATTCCCCAAATCTCTAAGGTATATAATGTCCTTCTCGTATCAAATGCCGTTTTCTTGTTTCAGGATTTCGAGACATGTGGCAGAAAACTTCGGACAGTCACTCAGCTCAGACGAAAGGTAAGAATCTAAACTCCTTCTTACTTTACCGTCAACAAATGTCATAACGCCGTTGTCTGATATCTGCAGATTTGTGGCTTTATGTTTCATATCTTCATTTGTTTGAAAACTTGCAATATCTTCTCGTAGTTACTTAATTCGCCGCTAGAGGCTTCAATGAGTGTCACGTGTTTGGGACTCCCCGACTCGTTAACTAACATGCCAGTACAATACACGGTCATTTTGGACTTCTTGGTTTAGTAAGTGATGTCACGCTGCGTTGTAGTGTGTAATTTAATAAATAATAATGCTCTTGTCAGTATTTGTCTCGAGAAACGTTAATGTTGCTTAATGACAACAAATCCGGCAACACTTCAGTACAAGGTTTAATTTGGTAGGAGTTGATTTAAAACGTGCCACGATTTTTCTAGTATATTTAGCTGAATCTAGGTGAAATTGTTAACACTGAAAAGTAGAGATTTATAAAGAAATGAGGAATTCATAATAAGTGAAATAGATACCGAGCAACGTAAACTCTTGCCACGTACACTTGATAGACTACACAGTTGGTAGACTTTGTATAGTTCAGATTGTGATGAATATTGGAATAGTTAATATTTTTCGCAACGATACTGACACACCAAAACTGCTTTCATAGAGAAATTAAGAGAGACTATTATACATGAAATGCTTTCTACCATTCAAGAAGATTTTTACATTTTTCCATTCTCTTGTAAGGGGGCTGAGATAGCAGAACAATGGAGATGTGTGATTTCGAGCCCTCTCCAGATGTAATTAGGATCATCAGAGCGAGGGGGATGAGATGGGTGGCTCATGTAGCATGCTTCGAGTAGGAGAGAGAGCAACACATAGTTCTGTAGGAAATTTTGAAGGGAAGGGAACATTTGGAAGACATAAGTATAGATGGGAGGATAACATAGGATAAGAGAGCAGAGATTGGATTCATTTTGAGGACAGAGAACTAGTATCCGGCTCTTACGAACACAATAAAGAACTTTCTGGGTTCATAAAACGGTTGAAACTCCTTGACTTGCTGTGCAATTGTAAAATTCCCATGAAAAACTCTACTTCATAAACTTAATTACTTACTTAGTTCAGAATTAGTGTGTTTTCGGAATTTGTCCATCGTCCGGTGTTCTAAAAGCCAGAGAACACAACATTTCGGATAGTTTATCTGCTTCCGTCCTCAGGTGAAGGAGAGACACTCAGTTGGGTTCCTTAGAAAAAGATAACCTCAGTGGCTGAGGTGAGCTGTTTCTGAGGGACCCAATAAAATAAGTGTCCCCCCTCTCACCCGAGGACGGAAAGAGATCCAGTTCGCGAAACGTCGCGTTCGCTATGCAAGAGTTGAGATTTTTACGGCGATGACTATGATGAACGCCGTCTTCTGTGATTTGGCGCCGTGTAGATCCTGTGTGAACGGACGGTCCTCCGTAACGTCTGTTCACACGAGATGTACTCGGCGCCACATCCCAGAAAACGGCGTTCATCATTGTGCTTTCTGGTTATTAGAAAACCGGACGGTGGACAAGGTCCGAAGACGCAGTAGTTCTGAGTGATATACGCAAACGTCAGAACCCTTCAGACCTTACTTAGTAATTCAGTTTCTGGGCTATGTATGCGATGTACCTAAGCGTATATGGTGTAAACAGTTTGGTCATGAATTTTATTTATTTTTTCATAATTACCTACCTAGGTACCTCTCGTTATAATTTTTAGTTATGAAGACTTAGATGTTGTGCTGTGGAACTACTTTTATTCCTTTTAAGAATTCTTTCTCAGGTTGGAATCAATTTTTTCAGGACAACTCTTGAAAGTGTAATTGCCATCAGAAGCAGCAATTGACAAAAGAGCATTTTCATGTTGAAAAGTTCACTTAGCAGTTCAGAACAAGCTGGAGACTTTGAGTTAATTTGAGGTCCATACACTCCACCACAGTATTTGCAAATTTCTCTAATAAACATGGCTGCGTGCATATTGGCAAGGTTATCAGTTACGTTTCATAAATTGCTTTAGCGTGTCCTCTGTTACGTTCGCAGTAAGAGAGAGAGAGAAGGAGTACGTGTGTTACTTTTGTGACAGTCCAAACCTGTACAGTTCTCCGTGGACGCTATAATCCACTCTAACCATTTCAGAGAGGCCGAGTTATTAGCGAGTTCTGACTTGTTTTCGTATCTGGGCAGAAAACTACTGCCTTGTTTTGTTTATGTCAAGTTGGACGGCCGGAAGAGGCAAGGTCACCACGGGAGGCAAGTCTGGAAGATGTGGATTTTGTTTTGTTGGCATGCGTGGCTGTCAGAAAGTGTAGCTGGGCCCTAAACTGAAGAAAGTAACGGCTTTCACATGTGGGGTTCCGAGTTCTGTATCTTGGGAACTGTTTTATTCTCAAGGGCCGTTATGTGATTGGCTTGTTCTGATTTCATGATGAATTTGGTTAGTTAAATTCAGACAGTTGGAGACGAATTCGTGTCTGCAGATCCTTCTTGGGGGATGAAGTGATGCTCCCGCAGGAGACCAGAGACCAGTCTTCGGGGACTTGGCGTTTTGAATTGATCGGAGGCAGAAGTCATTGGGCTACGCTCCTGTGTTTCTCTAAACTCATCAGTCCTTGACTTTGGATCGTTAAAATCTGACAATAAAAAAGGGCCAGATTACTCCGTACTTGCAAAGAAAGTTGTAATATTTGGCTTCTGAATAAATAAACAGTTTGTGGGCAGTGGAAGTTGTGATGTTGATTTGGAGCAGTGGACTTGCTTCAAGTGTGCAGTTTCCGGTTGCCTCAGTTATTGCCGTAACACGATCCTGAAACGAGTCAAGTGATCTACCGAAGCCGGTACATAAGTACAAAGACAGAATGGGGGACGGTTATACAATTGATATATATTTAAACATTTTGAAATAGTTTGAAGTGTGTTGGGTTCTGTCGAATAATATTTCACCACATTGCAATCGAATTTCCTTGCATTTCGCAAATTATATTAAGATTTTTTGGTTATGGTGAAATGCTGTTTGGTTGGGAGTTTATAAATACATAAATATATTAATTATATTTATACATAAATGAATTCGTGCATTAAATATAATGTAGGCCACGGTCAAGGTTTTTAACACCGCTGCTCGCCAAATAAGATTTCGGTTCCAAACATATAGCGGGTTTTCTTTAAGTTTTTGTTGGCTAAAACAATTTTTACGCAACATTGAACATAAACTTATGAATAATTATTAGATCAGTTTTCTTAATAACTCGTAGTATGTAACTCGTAGTACACCTTAAGGGCACTTCCTAGTACTGATACCATAAATGTCTATAAATATTAAGAACATGTTTGTTTAAGCACTGTATATCTATTTGATAATGTGACATGTAGACCGGTTGCTGGGAAATGACCGTGAGATAAGAAAATGTACAACAAAACAAGCGTGTTTCCACGGCAACTGTTCGATACAGCAACAGAGGGAAGGTGTTTTCTGTGCGGTCCGTACCGAGAAAATATAAGCAGGACAGTTAGTGATAAGTTAGAAGGTGAGTTGAGTGAAGTTATTGATGAGTTGGTTGGTGAGCGACTGAGTGAACTGTTGAGGTTCGATCATGAGTTGTTGCAGTTAGAAGCTGGTAGCTGAGGCCGGGGATAGTTCGGGAACCCAGAGGAAGGGGAACATCCACAGTTGGAAACCGCTGCAGAGCAACAGCTAATGACGTAACTGTGGACACTGGCGTGTGTGTAACAGTGAACTGTAATATGTAGTCACGCGCTGTATCGAAGAGCCCAATAAATCCGATCATCGATCCAAAACCCGTCTATAATCACTCCATATACGTGACAATATGAATAAATAAATGAGCATTAGGGAAAATACATATGAAACATGTTCTAGAAAATGTTTGTGCTTGTGCATGTCTGAGCAGGTTTACAGCCTGTCAAAGTATGAGCACTGTAAAAACATTGCGTTATGTTGTTTCCACCAAGAATCCCGTATTAATTTTCAGTAAAATCCGCTTACAGAAGTACGAGAGAGGTGGACTGGCCCTCGATTCGTTGCAAAAAGACAGGATAATATTCTAATTCGCAGCGGAGTAATTTAAAATTAACAACATTCATTGTGTAAAGCCGTGTTTCTGCTTTCTCAATTCTCGATCCACTAAATTTCACACTCTCTTCTTTCATGTATTTGCAGTTAAAATACAGAACACCTTGTTGCCGGCTCAGTCAATGCTCTTATTTGCCAACGGTAGAAATCGCTGTATATACGTGTATTTACATACATATAGTGCACTGATGAATTTAAAAAAAGAAGGATTTAATTTTAAATCTTTATATTGTTGCATGGCGTACGGAGAACAAAAACTGATAATTTTGATGCCGACTGCAACAGGCTCCTAAGATACAATATTACAACGTTACTTAGCCATTTTGTTCTATAAAATTTGTCTTAAGACTTAGAAGTGTTTTGGGGATATACTTATTAAATTCTTTGCAGCAGTCTGCAGCCAACTGCGCGCACTGGTTCTACCCTGAAGATGGAGGCGACACGTTACGCCGAAACGCCAGTTCACAAAAGATCTACACGGCGCCACGTCCCAGAAGACGGCATTCTTCAGTATTATGCGTGTGTCTGTGTGCGTCGGGGCGGGGCTTGTAAGATATTTCCTACTTGGAAGATTACGAGGCAGGGCTCGCTCGTTCATACGAAATTGGGATAAATAAAACATTCTTCTCGGACCTCAGAGATCTCTAACGCGCTGTAATTAGTTGTAGTTGTATATATATTTTTTTCCTTGGCACTACAGCCCCAGTGGGCCTAGGCCTACCTCCATGAACTTCTCCGTTCACTTCGGTTTCTCTAGATCTTACACATTCGGTAGGACTCCTTGGGCGGGTGATCAGCTCGTCGCAAAGCCTCTACCTGTACACAGACACAGAAAAACGCACACACACAAACTAAAAATCCATGCCCTGAGTGG